TGCCAGTTTATACGCTACTGAAGTATATCAAAATATCCGGATAATACGGATATTCGAATAACTCGAATGGTACTATTTGTATTATTCGTTGCACGAAGTATCCAGATATTCGAATACTATCTGTACAACGAATTTTGTTTGTGCATATACATTAAATCCGGATATCCGGATATCCAAATCACAATGTTATTTGAATTTAAGTCGCAGCCCTACTCACGGAGCGTCAGTCTGCTCTTGACATTTGAGAAGTTGATTGTTCGAAATTCTGGGGTAGAAGCTACCTCATGTGTACGTTTTGCTTATGAAATTTTCATTTTTCGTATATCAAGTTTTTGTTCATTTTTCTCTCAAATAATGTGGGGTTACGTGTAGATAAAATAATATTACTAGTTTTTCTTTTGTTATATATCTCCGTGTTCTAGTATATAATAAATATAATCTTACTAAAGTACATAGTTATGTTCTTAGCATTAGTTAATAATCACGGAAAAAAGTTAAAGCGTAGTCTTACTATAGACACAATTATGTTATTGTATATTGTTTTTCTATTCTATATTGTTTTCTACTGTATATTGATTTTCAATATAATAACGTACAAAAGTTTCCTTGGTGCTACTTTTTGATATCACTTTTTTTTGTAAAACAGGTTTTTAGAGAAAAAATATTTTGTAATATATAATATTTTGTAAACCAGGTTTTATAAAGAAAGAACTTTTTGTATTTGATAAAACAATTTTAGAGAAAAAAGGTTTTGTAGTAAAAAAAGAAAGTTTTGTAGTATATAATTTTGTAGAACAGGTTTTAATAAAGAAAGAATTTTTGATAGTATTAAATGATTTTTTAATTTATTAATTTAAATACAATACGTGTTGTGCGTATACTTAGCGCTTGTTCTTACCTTTTTTTTGAAAAGGTTTTTCAAAAGTTTTCTGAGATATCAGACATTTTATATTTTGTAGTATTATTTAAGTTTGTAAAACAAGTTTTATAGAGAAAGAATTTTTTATAGTATTAGATCATTTTTTAATTGAGTAATTTTCAAGTTTTTACTTTGTAAAATTAAAGTATATAGTTTGTAGTTATTTCGTACCAAGTTTCAAAAGTTTAATAAAAGTTTAATAAAAAAAAGAAATATATATATAAGAAATATATAAGGCTTTACGAGAGAGAGAGCCGTTTGCAGGATGTTGAACGGAAACTGTACGTATATATATATCCGAACAAAATACCTTTTCAAAAAAAGGTAAAAAAAGACGCCAAGTACATGCGCAACTCGTATCTCTAGAAAAAGTATT